GGCTTTGAGCAACCTGGTCTACAGCAGGGGAATTGGAGCTAGATGGTCCCTTTCAATCCAAACCATTCTGTGATTCTATGACTAACTTGTAAATGGGGAGACAGTGATAGGACTAGATTGGTTATGAAGGTATTGAATAGTGTGAGGCTTAACAGTGATTCCCAGGAGCCCTCACTCATACCAGGCTACCAGCCTGAAAATGAGCTGGGTATCACAGCTTTGGGCCTGTTAGCTAGTTCCCCATCCCTTGTACAGACCACTTCTCTAGCCCAAAATGCACTGGTTTTGTTTGTTTGTTTGTTTGTTTTGTTGTTGTTGTTTTCTAGAAAGATGCAGTAGAAAAGCATCAAAAACCTTGCAGAAATCCAGGTAGATGATGTCCACTGTTCTCCTCATGTCAGCTGAGCAAATTACTTTCTTATGGAAGGCAATTAGGGTCTTGCCTCTGCATACTGAAATAGAAGACACTTTCCGGGAAAATCTGGTTAGTTTTTGCTATCAGGTAATATCTCTTTAGTGTGAGATGGAGTGTGAGGTGCTCACAGACTGGTGTTAGGCACCTTATTCAGTCCTGAAGGAAGTCCTAGGAATCTTATCCAATATTTCTATCGCTGTTTAAAGGCCATGTTGTGGTTTAACAACAACATGGAGCTTAGCACCACACAGCGTTTTGCTCACTCACTCCACTAGAGTGGGATAGGGGGAAGAATCAGAAAAAAAAGATATAGAAAAGGAAGAGAAAAAAAACAGTAATGATGATTATACACAGAGACAGACACACGTGGATTACTAAATAATGCCTCCTGTTTATTTCCATGTAAAATGCAACAGATACAAGGAGCCCAATAAAACTATTTGGTAGAGCAAGTTCTCAACTACAAAGCACAATTTTTTCAACAGTTACCATCATTAGCCATGCATTTTCACCAGCAGTGAATAAGAGCCTGCATGTCCTGCTCATGAAAATCTGCACCAGTGGAGGTGACCCAGTGTTGCTGTTGCCACTGATGAAACGCAGCACCTACTGCCTCACTGTGCTCACGTCCACTCTTTGGTCTCCATAAACATTCAACAAGCATCCGTGAATGTCAGTGGGTGTCTTTTTCCCGCTTGGAGGAATTCAGTGAGACATCTTTGCTTCATACACACTTCCATGTCAGACACATTTTGTCAGATTGCCCCTCTGCTGTCATCTGTCACATAGCAACAAAATGGAATCTTGGTGAGAAGGTTAAAGCTGTGCCATACTACCAACATCTGCTGCCGAGCTCATGAGCCAACAGAATAAAACAAGAGACATTATTTTCAGAGCAATCTTCATGTAGATAGATAGATAGATAGATAGATATGTGGATGGATGGATGGATGGATGGATGGATGGATGGATGGATGGATGGATGGATGGATGGAAAGATTTTTTTCTAAAGTGCCAGCTGTACATCTTAGGAAAGGAGTGTTAGATCAAAAAGCTCTGCTCTGGTAGATATCACTGAAGTTTAACGTTTGCATTAGGTTGTACCAAGAACTCAGACGTTGTCTGTCACAAGGCGAGGCCTGTCCGGCCACAAGCAGAGGCCGCGCTCTCCCGATGAGATAGAGGGGAGCTGACTCCCTCACTCGGCTGCTGCTGGGCTGCAGTGATCCCAGATGAATTCCCTGCTGTACCCCAGCTCCACGCAAGATGGCAGTCCTCCTCTGCCAGGCCTTGATGGGTGCTGCTTTATCAGGGCGACAGTTGAGAAAGTTGTGATAGGTTTGAGAGAATCACGTTTTCCGTTAAAGCCACTTAGCAAAGATATCATCCACCTTACTCAGTGACTCCTTTGCAGCCAAGCAAACTGTCTCAGTCTTCCCATATTTCTTCCTTCCCTGAGCTTAAAGACACACCATCGTGTGGTGAGCCCTCTCACAGTGCAGGCACCCTTTGTGTTTCTGTACCACAGTGAGGCAGCGCATTTCAAGTTCTTTGAATAAAGAACAGGGGGAACTCATGGCTGTCTGTGAAAGAAATGTGGCCACTTTCTCAAGAAAGCGTTAACAGCTTAAGAATGACAGGAAAGAGCAAAGGCTGGTCTTGAATGAGACATAAAGAATCGGTCTCCACTGCATGTAGAGGGGAGGTGGGTTTGAGCCACGCTAGATCCAGACACATAAGAGTGTGCTGATAGCAGCCTGCTTCTCCAGACACCTGCTGAGCAGTATTATTTCATTAATAATGTTTATATTCAGGGCAGGTGACATAGAATAACCGAAATTGAAAAAGCCTTCCAAGATCATCCATTCCAACCATCTACCTACCACCAGTATTCCCCCACTAAACCGTGTCCCTCAGTACAACATCTAAATGTTTACTGAATACCTACTGGAGCAGTGACTCCACCACCTCCTTGGTCAGCCCATTCTAGCACCTGACCATTCTTATGGAGAAGTTTTTCCTAATATCCAACCTGAACCTCCTGTGGCACAACTTGAGGCCATTCCCTCTATTCCTATGACTAGTTACACAAGAGAAGAGGTCAACCCCTACCTCCACATAACGTATCACAATTCACAATACCGACTTTCCAAGGCACACTGCTCACAGGAAATCATCAGCTCTCTGAAAAGCCACAATCAGACCCAAAATCTCTGCCCTGCTGCACTGGTGGGTGCATGTCTGCCTTTCTATCATTGCTTTGGTATCATTGTGCTTCAATGCACAGTGAAGGAGGCAGAGACTGGCTCATAGCGATGCTGTTAAATCTACTTGCTAAATAAACTGTGCCTTGCTTATGGTGTGCTGGCACATCATCAATCAGGAGACACTGTCCTGTGAAGTACAACAAAGTAAAACCTAGATTTAATCATGATATTTGCTCATGTACTCCAGGCTGTGGCCTGATGGTGACCAGTTTTAACGTACAATGACAATTTTAAGTTTGACTTCCACATAAATTATCAGTGGTTATAATTAGCCTTTTGCACTGCATCCCTATCTGGAGTCAATTGCTTTAGGCCCAAAGTGGGTGCATTAATGCAACATAATCCTGAAATTTACCCAAAGAGAAACTGAAACTGCATGGATGAAATGTGTTTCATTTTCTCCTTTGATCTTTTATCTGTCTTAAATCATGTATGAAGAATAAAATATTTGTGTAGACATAAAGGAGAAATAATTCTAACTTTCATCATTTTACATCTTCATTGAGTAAGTCAAATGATATTTTTATGTGATATTTTTATTAAAGAAAAGAAGCACAGAAAAAAAACACACAGAAAAAATGTTGGAAAAAAACCAAGTCATTTTTTCCCCTTATCTTTACATGTAGTGCTGTTTGAAAAATCAGTTTGATTTTTACTTTAATAATTTTTCTGTAAAACTATTTCAGCATCATAAGTCAAATCATGATAGAAATAGTCTGTAAAATTAATATTTGGGAAGGATGTTTGTGTCTGTATCAGTCTTCTTAATTGTTTTCATTGTATTGAAAAGGTTATCTACAGAAATAAATTCCAAAACCTATCAACATTTTCCAAACTGGAACAGCAAATTCATAAGTAGAACCTCATAACTTTAAAGGTTCTGGATCAAAATAGTTAAACAATTTGAAAGAGATGAAAAGCAGTGCTGTAAGAATGTAGTCTTTAGGGGAACAATTTCCCTGTTTTACCTTAGCATATTTATCTGAGCCTCTTTTTTTTCTGGTAGCTAAAAATATATTGACCATAAGCATGGATGACTGCAAACTGTTAAGACTTCTTCAACCCCATGATAACTAGTCCTTTGGCTTACGAGAATTGCTAATTTCTCTTTTGGGAATGACTTTTCAACAAAAAGTCCAGATTTTTATTGTCTTACACTAAAGAAAATTAAGTTCATTATGATGGACATTGAAGATTTCTGTTTTTGTTTTACAATTAGTATTCATCTTTTGAGAAAATGAAGTAAATGAATACGTATAGATATGTTAATTCTGAAAATCAAAGGAAACACACATGGAGAAGATAAACTTCTGGCTTTGACACAGCATGCTTTTGTTTGCAAAAAGGGAAGTCCCAGTGTTATCTAACCCTCTTAGTTAACTAAAGAACAACAGGTCAGTAAAGCTTCTCTTAAATAAGCAGCTTCCTCTTCTTTCTTGGAATTAAGATTGCATAGTTTTTTGTTCTTACTGGAGAGAGGTTTCTCAGACCTGCTGACTTGGTCTGAGAATTGGTGACTTTGTATTGGTGACTTTCATTTTTAGATACCATACATATCTGCTTTCAATTTTTTTAAGTATGCTATTTACCAATGTTGTATTTATTATTAATCAATTATTATTAAAAATGCATTATGATACTAGATGAATTAGTTACACCAGTTACCTCCATGCCAAGCACCAGTCTGAACTGCAAGGACAAAATGGGATGGGTAAATTTAATTCCTACTCATCAAATTCCTGACTGTTTTAAAATCAGGATCAAAATTTCATTGTTAATTTAGGTGGTAAAATATGTATTTGGATAGGGATGAACTGATACCAAAGTATGAAACAGATTCGCTCCTCCTTGTAACTTCAAAATGAAGACATTCGTAAGGAGATATGCTGCTGCTTAATGTCTGCACAGGAATAAGGTTTGCTTAGTTCATATTTATTTATTTTCGTCTCCATTTGGGAAAGGACTCTTACAGCACAAATACTCTAAACGCTAAACAGATGATATCTGTGATTTGATTCTCTTCTCCTTTGTTATTTGGATTTGAAATGGTTTTGTTGTTTTTCTTGGGGTTTTTGGGGGTTGTTTTTTTTTCCACTGTAAGAAGAAGAACAGACTGGGAATACCTGACCATCTCCAAATGGGAAAACAAGACAAGAATAAGGTCCTTCTCTAGACAATAGGTGTCCAACATTTTGGCTTGCCTGGGCTGCATCAAGTGCAGAAGAACTATCTAGGGCCACGTATAAAATACATTACATACTTAGTATATGTAAGTAACAAAACCACTTTTTTTTTTTTTTTTTTTAAATTTAATTAAAACACATAAGAAAGAGGGCAGCAAAAACTTCAAACTGGCAGGATTTATTCCAGCAACGCTGGAATTAAAAAAATATGCAGCCATTTATTTTTATAGTACTAGCACTGTTGTCTATGTAACTATAACAATATAATGAGCAAAACACTATTTGATACACTTCCTATAGCACAGCTGTTAAACAAACAAACAAACAAACAAGCAAACAGAAACCACCATTTTAACACATTGATTGTGGAGACCACACTGTTGTCAATTTTTCTGTGCCCAGGTATGGACATTGCAGATGTTGCCATCATTTCTACCCTTTAAGAACTATGTTTAAAAATTCCCATGCACATCACGTGTTTAATACGTTATTAGTAGAGATGCTCTAGTAGTCTGAGTTCAGAAGACGCATCGATTAACTATTTTTTGACAATTCTGTATTTGCTACGCCTTTCCTGACCATAAAGCTGGGCTTACATGAGAACATCTTGAAATTATTTCTGATTTTGAAATACAGAATCACAGAATCAACAGGGTTGGAAAAGACTTCCAAGAGCTAGTCCAACCATCCATATAATCACCAATATTTCCCCACTAATTCACATCCCTTAGTACATCCATTGCAGCACTTAACCACTCTTTTGGAGAATAAATTTTTTTTGATATCCAACCTGAACCTCCTGTGGTGCAACTTGATACCACTCCCTCTCATCCTATCACTGGTTAGGTAGGAGAGGGCAACAAATCCCACTTCACCACACCCTCCTTTCAGGTAGATGTAGAGAGCAATTATGTCTGCTCTGAGCCTTCTCTTCTCCAGACTAAACAAGCTGAGTTTACTAAGCAGCAGTGTTCCCTCAGCTGCTCCTCATAAGACTTGTGCTCCACATCCTTTACCAACTTCAGTGCCCTTCTCTGGACATGCTCCAGGGTCTCAGTGCCTTTCTTGTAGTGAGGGCACAGAACTGAGCACGGTGCTGAGTACATGGGGACAATCACTTCCCCACTTCATCTGACAACACTATTTCTGATACAAGCCAGGATGCTATTGGCCTTCTTGGCCACCTGAGCACAGTGCTGACACACATTTAGCCAAGTGTCAACCAACACCCCTAGGCCCATTTCTTCTATACAGTCTTCCAGCCATTCTGCCGCAGGCCTGTGCATTGCCTGGGGTTATTGTGGCCAAAGCGCAGAACCCAGCACTTGGTCTTGTTGAATCACTTCTTCCCATTGCCCTTAGTCTGGATCAGCTATCCAGCCTGTCCGGATCCCTCTGTAGAGTCTTCCTATCCTCAGGCAGATCAACAATTCCTCCCAGCTTCTGCAAACTAACTGATGGTTCACTCAAGATCTAAACAGGATACTAAACAGGACAGGTTCCAGTACCAACACCTGGGGAACATCACTTGTGACTGGTTGCCAACTGGATTTAATTCCATTCACCATTCTCTGGTCGCGGCCCTCCAGCTGATTCTTTACCCTGCTGTTTTTGTTTGTTTTGTTGGAACTGAATGATCTTCAATGTCCCTTCCAACTCAAGCCTTTCTGTGATTCTATAAATCTATGAGATGTAAAACAAAACAAAATGTGGCTGTGCAAAGCTATCTGAAGTTGCTTTTCTGTTCTCTGAAATCTCAGGAAGGGTCTAATTTTATTGAGTATGAATTGCTGTTGTTTCCCAACATAAGTCTTTCCATATCCCATTCTAACATGGAATATGGAATTGGCTTCAGTAACAAAATCATTTTCAAAACTCAGACTTGTCTCTAATGCCAGACATTGCAATAAAGTGAAACTAAAACTATAAACCATTAGCAAAGCAGAGCACGTATTAAAGTTGAGGCAGTCATGAATGAATAAACCAAGAAGACAACAAAGGAACAAAGATGGAAAGGTGAATTTCTGTACAGAAAATATTATATAATTTTCAACGTGAATTAGTATTTTTGTAGTTATATCTTCAATAGTAAATTAGCAGGTAATTGCATGAACTTTGTTCTTCAGAGCATATGGCTGAATACGGCAAAGCATTCCACCTGTCACATTCCAAATCCAGGTCTATGTCTTTTGGTATCTGGAATGCAGAGAACGGGGGTAGCAGTTGCTGGCAGTGATTCTTGCTGAAAGGAACAGTTCTGCGTGTCAGGGAAATCAGACAGGTCCAGCAGCCCAAGGGAGGTGAGGTTGCTCAGGTACAACAAATATGCACTGAGCACATCTTGCTGGTGGGCACATACACACAGGACTCATGTACTTGGTGTTGTTATAGGTACATACATTCATGGACAGCCAGATAGAGCACTCACGTGAACACAAACAGCAATAACAGCATCATCCTATTCCTCTCCCTGGCTGAGCAGGCTACGATGGGAATGCATGTATACTTATGTACAGCATGCATGCCTCCAGCAGTGGGGCTCAAACATTTGGTCTGCCCAGTAGCTGCCTCTGGATGCCAGTCTTTGTTCTAGTAACTAGACATGCAAGCCTATGAGATATACAGACACGCTCCCTGTCTTCCAAGCCATTGTGCATTCTCACTGGCTTGGGTGGATGGACCTTTGCTTGCACTCACACACTGCTTCACTGTGGCACTGTATGCAGGCATAAGGGCCCCTGAGCCCTGGTTCCAACCAGCGACTGGCACATAGTGTCACTCACTTGGGTCATGCCCCTTAATGGCACATAGGTGTGGGGGCCCTCTGGCATAGTGTTGTAGCCCAGCTGCTGGCACCAGACCCTACTGCAGCTGCAGCCACTACAGACATACGAGTTTCTGCTGCTGAGGTCCAGGAGGAGGCTCTGGTGTACAGTAGTCACTGTACTCAGCGAGCTCTCAGACACCCACAGGTTAATGGCCCCACAAAAAATGCCAGCCACCGACTGAAGGTGGCAGTACCAGATATTTAAGCAGACAGTATCCTCTGTGTCCTTCAGTACATAGCTGTGCCATGTGCAAGTCGGCATGCATTCTGAGTTTTTCTTGTATCCTTTGCTGTATGCGTGACAGTGTTCTTACAACACCTCGGAAATATCTTGGTTCTTTGATACATCGATGTCCCGAGTAAGGTTCTTGATTTCAGGTTGCTTTCGCCTGGTTAATTAGGGTCATCATAGTAGCACAGAAGGTGCGTACCAGGTTATAACATCCGATCTCGTGATCGGAGCTTTGCGGTCTGCAGGTTCCGTCCGGGCGGAGTGTCGGAAGCGGTCGAACTTCCAGTCCTCCGACGGCAGCCCCCGTCCACCCGGAGGACCTCAGTTTCTGTTTCGATTTCATTTACTGAAAGCCCTTGGCTTTCGGGAATGCAAAGCCACCAGGCACCGCGAGGACGACTCCAATCTTCGCTTGTAGGGAAGCCTCTCCCTCTCGCCCGTCTCGGTCGCCGGCGCTTTTCGGCCGCATCTCCTCGGCCGAAGACCGCAGCTAGCCGGCATCGGCCACCAGGAGCCGGCAGGTAGGGAAGAGACCGGCGGGGGTGGAGGGAGCAGCCGCTGTGGTTCTGGGGGTTCTCTGCCTCCGAGCGGCTCCGGCCCTGTGCCTAACTCGGGGATACCCGACGGGGCTGGGATGTCCGTCTGGAAATCCTGAACAGAACAATAGAAACATCCATCCCCCCAAAACAGCAAACCAAATCAAAAACTCAATACAACTTGTATATATGGCATCTGTGGCTATATCTACACCTGTACCTATGTCTGTGTCTATAGGTATATGTATATCTAAATCTATATTATCTATATCTTCTATATAGGATAAGAGCATATGGTTGGAAAAGGGGAAATTGTTTCAAGCCAAAAGAGGGGAGATTTAGATTGGATGTAAGGAAAAAGATTTTTTGCCATAAGGGTGGTGAGTCATTGGAACAGGTTGCCAAGAGATGTGGTGGGTGCCCCGTTTCTGGAGACACCCATGGTCAGGATGGACTCTGAGCACCTGATGGAGCTATGGGTGTCTCTGCTCATTGCAGAGAGTTGGACTAGGTGACCTTTGAAGATTCCTTCCAACTCAAACATTTCTGTGATTCTATGATTATATTATTCCTATATTTATATCCACATAGTTTATGCTTTAAAACCTATAAATGATACATATATAAAAAACACTAGGCATCTATATACATACAAACATATAAGACTACCACTGTGAAAAAAAACTTCAGTGGTCTGTTATGCATGGAAAGCCCGGCTCTGTGAGCTCAAGGCAAGTTACGAAAAAGAGGAAACTAAATTCATGGCTTTGGCAGCTGGCTACACTGATGGCTTCTGTGGTCTCAAAGTCATTGTTTTATAAATCCCTTTTGGTTTCTTTTTGCTGCATCTTCCTTCTGAGAAAATAAAATGTCATTAACACATGCTTTTAAGGACAGTAGAAACTAGTGGAAATAAACCTTCATCAGTCTTTCCTACTATGGAAACCCACCACCTCAGCCTCCTAGAGTACTTTCAGATTACCAGAACTTAAATGTTATGTTTTGCTATTTCATACACCTGTCATGGTCCTCCTACGCTTCAAGTAAAAAGGCCAACTCTGACCAATTTTGCCTGTTATGTGTTTTTGCTTCCATGACAGGTACTGTGAGTAGGCTGCCAGGTAAAAGAAGAAAATATTTCCTGGAAACTTTTTAGTGGTCTTACAGCATTTAAACTCTTCTGACAATCTTCTCCACTTCTTGAGATACACAAAAGAATTGGGTGATCCTACACTGAAGCATAGGCTTAAAGTCCCACTGCAGTCAGCAGGTGAATGTAAGTAATATTCTTTGGCTTCTCGTGCTTGTTTTCTTTTCTGTATTCCTTAATGACTTCTAGAATCACAAAAAAGTTTTCCTGAATTAGTGTAGAGGGATCGAATGTTGCTGAAATACTGCTCTGATTACACATTACTGCTCTGACACATTTCTTAAAATGCCTGTGGCATTTCAAGTGCTAGTTTTCCCATTTTTTTGTCTTTGGTTACAATTAACCACTGTTAGCAACAGAGAATTTTCCCTGCTGGGGAACTTTCCAATAATGGGGAAGTTTCCTAAAGAAGTGGAGTTACATGAACATTTAAGTTCTGCTATAAGAAGGCTTGGGCAAGTAGTTCTGTTCTTGTCATCTCCATGTGATTGTGAGGGAACTGTGCAGCCAGCTGCGCTGAAGACTGTTTCTTGCTACAGATACCTTTCTGCCTCTTTAGAACGGTGTTATCCACAGACGTCAGAAATCAGCCAGAGGAGAGAAGGAGCATTGTGACAGTCTCTGTAAGAAAAGCAGTGAGAAGACTCTGGATTTGATTTGGCATTTAGGTCTCAAGCTGCTTCAGTTGAGCCAACTTGGTCATGCTTCTGCTGAAGGTGAAGCAGAGCAGTCTGTGATGGTTACTGCAGGGAGCATTTTCGAGTGCTTTTGGATTTGACCTGGACCTACTTTTTTTCCTCACTGAAAGTGAACAATTGAGTACAGCGGCACAGCAGACTTTCTCAGTCTTGAGGAATTTTGTAAGTAACAGTCATATATTTTCTACATCTAGTAAGGCTTATCTTCTTCTATAGCAGTTGAAAGCAAAGGAGTTAGAATTTTACAATATTTCAGAATACAGGCATGGGTCTGAGAACCATAGAAGAGCTTCCTTGCTGTCATCCCTCTCTCAGGAGATGATTTCCTCTCCTAAGAGTAATATCTACAGAGAAATGGGATGGGATGCATCCACAGGTATGGGTGTCCTCCTGTGTCATTAGCGCACTTACTCTTTGTTCTGTCTCAGTTCACCGTCTCAGCTCTGATCTCTACTGTGAATAAAGCAGGACACATTTCAAGCCTGAGTGTACTGCAGCTTTTATAGTAATGCAGTCATTCATAGCTTGGAGAAGACTGTGGGGAGACCTCATTGTGGCCTCCCAGTACTTGAAGGGAGTTTATAAACAGGAAAGGGGCCAACTTTTTACATGGTCTAATGGTGATAGAACAAGGGGAAATGGCTTTAAAGTAAAAGAGGGGAAAATTAAGTTAGATGTTAAGAAGAAAATTGTTTATTCAGAAGACAGTGAAGCACTGTCACAGGCTGCCCAGAGAAGCTGTGGATGTCCCATCCATGGAGGTGTTCAGTACCAGGCTAGATGGGGACCTGGACAGCATGACTTACTCAGTGAGTGGCAGTTCTGCCTGTGGCAGGGTTTTGGAACTTGATGATCTTTCCAATTCAAGCCATTCTATGATTCTATGGTCTTGGCATGGGGAACACTGAAAGTTGCACATCTGCACAGGGCAGCCTGTGTGGCTTACTCTATGCAGGCCATGCTTGGAGTGAATGTGGCTGAAGCACACCTGTGAGATTTTTCTATCTCATTTGAGAAGGTTTGTTTTCTTGGGAAGCAAGAATGGAGGGAATCTAATGCATGTATATCACCTACGCATCCTTGGGCAATCAGACTGCTGTTGCTTTTAAGAATGTCTTTTGTGGTTAAACAGTGAATTGGTATCCAGACATATTGAGAAGACTGTAATGTGTTCATTCGTGAAATATACCTTTCATCTTGAGTCTTGCCTTTATTTTCATGTCACTGTTAGCAGAACCCCATTCCGTAATTGCTCATGCCTGCCTAGCAGCATGCTTGATGGGCTCCCTTCCTCAGCTCCAGCTGCCCTGCCACCCACAAAGACTGCTGGGATCAGACAGCAGCAATCTGGGGGAATAAAGAAGCCTAAATCAAATTATCGGGAGGAGTCTCATCCTCTTAAGCCACAGTACCGTAAAGGCATACACGTCTTAATGGCTCAGAGCAATATTGCTCATTTATCACCTTAGTGTTGAAAACACGAGAAATGCCAAACTGTTTGTTGGGTAAATTTTGCAATCCTGACAGAATTTCATGAGTTAGGAGGTCTGATGGTTACCATAGTTCCTAATTTCTTATGCAAATTTCTTATGCAAGTTACCACTAGAGAACAGTTGAATGCAATCTTTCCTTTGTGTGTCCCAAATGAGAGTTTTATTTAGACAAAATTGTGGAGTTCTCTGAACTCACAAAAGACTTCCATTGAAATCAGCTTAAGCTTTTGTTAAGTGCACTTTGAAGATTTACTACTGTTTGATCCCAGTACTGCTCTGACTTAAGTTTCACATTTAAGCAAGAGCAGTGGGTGTGTGAAGGTAAGTGTCTGAATTGACATTAATCAGTGTTTTGTATTTTTGATATGTTGTGTAGGAGTATAAAAGTCATGTTAGTAAAGAGGGGAAAATTTCTGAGGGAAAATTGACACATTTGCATGTTCAGAACTAAAGCAGCAGAAATTCAAGGTTTTGTCTGTAGGCATCATTGTTTTACAAGGGCATTGCTGTTTTAGTGCTGTGAAGTCCTAGGTTCTACAAAGCTCAATGCAGTAAAATAAGGGCAGCTTTCAGGGAAGAACTGAGCTCACTGCATCCACTATGTGTGCAGAGAATGTGTACAGAGAACTGTTCCCTTCCTTTCCCATCAGGAGAAACTATCCCTCCTATGGTTTATAGGAACAACTGGGTACTTGTGAGTATTCATTTACTGTTTGACATATAGTGATAAAGTTCGTGTTGTGCCATAATTAACAAATATGTTTAAAGGAAATAAAATCAGTGCTCTCTCTGAACCTGCCAATGGAGGTTTCTGCCTCACCTGGCGCAGTCACACATGCAGCTCTATCATGCCTTTGCTAGAGTGGAATTCAGTGCCTTGTGTCCACTTCTTTGTGTGCAGTGGCTGTAAATTGTATTTTATAGTGCAAGTTAGAAAATAAGCAAATTTTTATGTTCATCCATTATCATTCTAGGTTCTACTTACATGATGGAAAAGCTTTTGCTTTTGCACATATTTCTAGTCTGCTGGCACTCCCTAAATGGTAAGAATCTGAATTGTAAGAAGTAGCAGAACCATTTGTTTCCTTCTGTGTATAAGCATGGAAATGTCAAGTTCTCAGTATTCCTACAGGTGCTTATTTATTTATTTATTTATTTATTTATTTATTTATTTAGCTGAATGTTTTAAATAAAAAGGTCATTATAGGCTTCCACAATACGCAATATGTGTGCTTTGATGTATGGCTTGATTGAAATCCCTGCCAGCGTCTCAACACAGACATCATGGAGGCAAGATACTATCTGCCTTAAGCAAAATTGGCGGTGTTAGGTCTGGGATTTGTTACATGTTCTTGAACATCCCTGGAGAAAGGAACTGGCAGTTCTATAAACAGAACATTCTCACAAGAAGTATTAACAGTTGATTAACAGTTGCCTGTTACTGTAGCAATGTTCTGAAAGCTGAGGGGGTGGATGCACACATATTGTTTTTTTTAGAACATACTGAGTACCTGCACAAAGCAGGTGTCTGCAGGCATGAACAGCCCTGTTTGTTATTGAGAAAAGGCACGCAAAAAAGCTCAACGAGAACACAGCAGATACTTTTGCTTTTGGTCCTCAAAATGTCATATAAACTTATATCATAGATATTGATTAAGCATGGCTTTCAAAATAAGGCTTATAACAGAAAATTAAGTTTTTTCAACTTCTTTTTCAGCTTTATTTACAGTTGAAGCTCCCAAATCGCTCTATACTGCAGAACTTGGCAGCAATGTGACAATGGAATGTATATTTCCAGTGAATGGGAAACTAAAGTTCAAGGATTTAAGCGTCATCTGGGAAAAAAAAGATGAAGTTAGAAAGGATGTTTACGTACTTCTCAAAGGAAAGGAAGACTCTGGAAGTCAGCACAGTGATTTTCAGGGACGGATAAAGATGTTGAAAGAGAACCTGGATTTTGGGCAGTCTCTCCTTCAGATCAGCAACGTGAAGCTCAAAGATGCGGGGCTTTACTATTGCCTTATTGAGTACGGGGGAGCTGACTACAAGACCATCAGTCTGAAAGTTCAGGGTGAGAGTTCTACCGCAGGAGGTTTGCTGTTCTAAGATACCGTGGGAAGATTTTGGGGCAGTCCTGGCAGAAGGGCATGTCTGCATTAGCATTTCAAGAAAGCTCCCCAGAGACAGTAGCAGACTCGTGAGCATTGCGTCACTGTATAACCTTGTGTTGTCTAGGTGGAATCCATAAGCTCCCTTTAATTTCTCTAACATATGAGGAACAGTCTGTTAAATGCCATTTAGATAGCTGTGTCAACATTGTCTCAGCCCTGTACCCCCAATTACAGAAAGACACACAACAGTAATATTTACTTTCCCTACCAGGAGCATTATTTACAAGAACCAAACTGATGCACAGAATTGTGGCCAGGAGGCTGGGGATAAGGAAAAGGTATCTTGCTAATAGAGGGTGTTCTTCTGGCTTCCTCCTGGTAAAGATTTTCTTTTGTCTCTTTAGCTCCGTACAGAACTATAATCCAAGAAGTGGTAAGCACAGGAGACAAAGAGTGGAAGCTAACTTGTCAGTCAGAAGGATACCCAAAAGCTGACGTGATATGGCAAAATGGAGGATGTCAGGATTTGACCGATAAGGCAAATACAAGTTATGAAACTGGAAGTGATCAGCTTTATCGTGTGACAAGTACTCTCACAATCAAAAACAGAACTCGTGAAAATTTTCGTTGCATCTTCTGGAATAAAGAGATTCAAGAAAATACATCTGCGGATTTATACATATTAGGTAACTACTCTAAATTTCATCTATGGTAATTTATTTCAAGATATTATGTAATTTTGTCTGATTTGAATCAGTCACTATTTGTTTCACATTCCTATCCAATTTTGGAAAGGCTGAATACCTGTGCTGTTGAGTTTTGCTAACAGTGTATGCTTCCACTGTACCAACACTGTCATGATGAGTCTGGAACTAATAATTCAAAGTGGGAATCTTATACAACTTATGTGAAAACTGAGTGTTAAACTGTTATCAAAAAAAGATCAATTATTTGAAAAGCATATCACTTGGAGATCAGAAATGAGACTCATATAAATTAAACACACTTTAAGAAAAATTGTCTTGATTATGAGAATTGTCAAGAGCCTGGTCTTTTTGAAAATTTGAAAAACCTGGTCTTTTTCTGCCATTACAGCTTTAGCTGTGGGCACACATAAGTTCAACATCTTGCTAAAAATGCCTGTGCTTTTTGTGACTGACAGGATGGAAGCAGGCAGCTGAGAGTAGGGAAGGTAAGCAATCCTTTCAACGAGTGGAGAGAAGGCAAGTTCAGTACTGATTGGAAAGGCATCCAGGCTTGAGGAAGCAACATATCCTTTGCATTCAGAGTTTTACCAGAACAAAGTGACACCTTCTTTACTGTGTCAAGCAGCTGTTTCCTGTAGTCTTGACAGAAGGTCACTAAACTGGGTATAACACTTTGTACCTTGGTGATAAGCAGGATTTGTGACGGAAGGAAAGGCACTCTCCAATGGAATGCAGGAAGCAGAGACAGATAGGAATTTGTTAGATAATGTTTATCTAATATTTGTTAAATAATTAATGCATTGTAGAATGAATGCAAATCAGCCTTAGCCAAAATCTAAAACGCTGTTATCACATCAATTATCATAACAAAAATAATAATGAAAATGAAAGAAAAAGGGAGAAACTTATGTAATTCTGCAATGCCTTTCATCTACTTCTATTTCTTGAAGATTCAGCTGATGACGTGCTGTGGACTGAGAGCAGGCACTTTGTTTGGCCAATTCTCATTGTGAGCGTCCTCGTTGGATCAGTGTCAATTACTATCTGCATAAGGAAAGGTACATTCAAGATGTTTATTTTTGTGTACTGAAGTTGTTGTAATGTTTCCTGTTGATTCATCTTCACAAAAGTGAGATGAGATCATAAAAGCCCTCCTTAGATCCTTAACAACGAAACCACTTGTTTTTCTCCGTATTGTTTCTATCTTTTTCTTCACTTGACTCAATCAGATATGACCTCTTAGGTCAGCAGAATGAAATGGATTGCCCGCCACACTCAGGTCATTTGATTATACATCTCTATTAATTCTTCTCATAGCTAGAGCAATATGACTAATGCAATATTGTACTGAAGCATGGGTTAGGAACTTACCAGAAATAAAAGTTATTCTGAATGCTCAGAGTAAATAGGATACTTCAGGTTTTTTAGCATTTTTTTTACTGCATTCTGTAAACAGTGTGAACACTTTTTAAAAACTGATCTGTTATGAACTTTAGTTGCTCATTCTTGTTAAAATACTACAAAAAATGATACATTACATATGAAGAGATGAGTCTGATCTTCAGTCTGAAAGGTTTTTTTTTCCACAAGGTATTCGCACTGTGGCTTGGTACCACTTGTTTCATTTCCTTGTTAGGTTTTTCACGTTTTCTGCTCACTTGACTGACTTGGATTGGATAGTATCAGCATCACACAGTTGGAAACAGCTTAAGTATTAGTGGTAATTTGTTTTTATTAGCTAGCAAGCCAGAGGAAAGACCTGAAGATGTAATTGTAAAGTATCTAAGCAACAACATGCTCATGCACCATTTCTTTTTGCATAACCTGAAATAAATACTTTCCTGCCCTGACCCTCCTCCCTCTGTTTCCTTGGGAGAAGAAGGGTTTGTTTAAGGATTTTATTATCAGTGGTACTTTTTTACTTTTCATATTAACGCATTCTGTAAAGTCATGCAGACTTCAAAACATCCATAGGGGCTCACTTGAAAATATGAAAAAGAAAGTGTGATTTGCTGGGCATTCTCTGCTTAGCCAAAATTCTTCCTCTAATTATCTCTAATTATAACAAATTATATCCTATAATTTTAATAAATATAAATATATATATACTGTAAAGCTGTATGAATAGACAGAGTATGGGGAGCATTGATACAGAACTTTCAACTTTATAATATCATACCCACATGACTTTGTGAAACGTTACCAGAAATGCTCAAAAAAACTGAACAAGAAGTGAACTAAGTGCTGCTTTTGAATTGCTCAAATCTTATAGTAGATGCAAATAGATAGCTGCCATGAAATTAAGCTGTTTGAAGAGTTTTCTCAAAAGCTTGTACACCAAAAGACATGTGCTTTCTCATTCTGTGTAATAGGACTGTGATTTTCCTGTCTGCCAGCTCTCTTTTCCCTAGTGAAAGTCAGAAACAGCTCTCATTTCTGGCTGGAAGCTACACAAAAAGATTTATCAACAACAACTACGCTGAGCTTTCATTTTCAAACTCCATAAAATAAATGCAAGAGAGAACTGAATGTGGATATTCAGTTTTCTGGTCACAAATTCATCTCCTGCACAGGTGCTATGGAAACATGTCCTGGGAGAAGTGTTTGTGAAGCTTAGCAGGCTTGTGGGTAACGCTGGCAGGCTACATAAGGCTGTGCATATGCCTAAATTCTGAAGAATAAACTTCTCCTAGGAACATGATAGGAACAGGAGTAGAACATGAAAGTGGAAGAAGGGACAGCAATATCCTTGAATTCTCAGAAGATTCCTATCTGGGGATTTCAGCAAAGGTTGGGATTTTCCTACATTGCATAAGTACTATTAATCACATGTTTGTGCATGTGATAGTATACATGATTATATATAATTAACATGATTATGTTAAATGTATGTAAGTGTCATAAACTAAGAATTGATTTAGAAGCTAAAATAGTACAGAGAACATTTTTCCTTTAAAACCCAAGCTGACGTAGATGACCAGACAGGCAACTCTTTAAGAGCAGAGCCTTTCTGGAAATGGGCTTGTTTCCCACTGAATACAGTAAGAATTTTTTTTGTTCTCTATTGCCCAACATGCTTAAATGTTAGGTGAAAATGTATAACGAGAAAACATTTGAGCAATTACATTTCAGTTATTTTAATGGATAGTGTCAATTGAGTTTTGGCTTGCAAACCAACTAGAAAGGAAATAGGAAGGAAAACTGACAGACTGTGGGCACTGAAGGCTTGAAGAGGTGGAGAATTTTGAGGACCAGTGACTATACTATGCTAAGAGTGCCCTTCCCACAAATGTGCTTAAACCCTTAGTAGATCTAAAATGAGTATCTTCCTTTCATTTTTACTCTTCTCTCTTATTTTCTTTCAGCTAGAGCAAATAAGGACTGTAGGACACGTATGGCAAAATCATCAATTAATATAGCAAGTATGTACCTGTGGCATAAATGTAGCTCAGTTGTGTCTTATGGAAATAATTTTTAAAAAAACTGTAACTGAGAATTTATTCTATAATGGTGGCAATGACACTTTATTCCCTACTTTTTTCCCTAGTAGCCTTTTTTTCCCTCCTGTTCAGACACTGGTTCTATTTAGCAGAGCTTGCTGAATGGCCAATACAACCATTGCAGTCAGACAGGAAAAGGAATAGAGCTAATACATACGTAGAGAAAAGAGACTAAAATACTTTAGTCTTCTCTACTGATGACTGTTTAAGATTTTTATTATTATTTATATGTTGTTTGGCTTTATTTAAAGGCCACTTTCAAATACACTGCTCTGTGCAAGTTAGTCCATACAGACAGGATTTTTCCTTAACAAAACCTATTTTAAAAATGCTTGTCCAAAACAGACACAGTATTTGGTATTAATCTCTTTCCTAATTTAAGTCATATGCTTCTTGGAAGCCCCGAGACAAGTTTAACAAAGTTTTATCACTGCATGAATGGTTTTATCTGTGCTGACTGTTGCCTGTGTGTGTGGTTTGTTTCAAGAGCTGTCAAAAGATAAGGACGCACATGACTGCAGAGGTACTTCTTTTGAAGATGAAGAGCTGAAATGTAAGCATAAATGATAACGGTAAAAATAGTGGCAAATTTCATACAGAGCGAATCATCTGTTATCCTCACATTTAATGACCATTAGGAGTCTTGACAGCACAACTGGAGGAATGATGATGACGACAGTGGGAGGGAGCCACATCATTGCCCATCATTGCCACTCAAACTTTAACAAGTTATGAGATACTGTCTCAGCAAAGCAGGAAAATAAATAACTGAATCTTTGAAGCTCACAAAACAGATTGTGGCATGGAAAAACAGGGTGAAGTTATTGAAGCTTTTCTTTTACTTTCTCTCTAACTTTTAAAAGAACTTAAATTATTTCCCAAATCCCTCCCTGCAATACTTTACTACTGTAAAACTAAAGAAAGGCAAGCAGGTACAGATCTCTGAACAAAATAGCCAGGGCTTGGGGATACCCTACAAGAGATAATGATAGATGGGGCACTGTTTTGGATTTTAAAAGAAGAGATGACCTAAGTCACAACAATTTCTCTGTATTTGTTAGGTTGTACTCATTTCACTGCATTTGTACAAATACTCTAACCTCCAGTGTGATTAAACTACCATTTCTTACCACTGATCACATTTTGTTTCTGTTTGACCTTCTTAATAATTTTATTTTTGATCTTTTGTTTTGAAAATGAAAGGATTTTTTCTTGGTACTCCAAACTCTGAGAAAGAGACACAAATTGAAGAAATGCTCTGTTATTTCATATTTTTGAAGTTTGATTTTTTTTTCATATAGTTCTTCCTTTTGCAGACATACAAATTGAGAAGACTTAGAAAAAGCAGGGGAAGATTTTCCATTGGTGCTGAAGATTTGACAGCTCTGATGTTCTCTGCTCTGTCTGTTTGGGGAGATACTCATTTTTTGTTTTTATTCTGTTGTTGCAACCTTCTTCCATATTACTGTAAATCGGGAAAAGATGCAATTACCATAGCATAATAGGCCCCTGGATTCTGGCCTCTTTTTATACAACTAAGTACAGAGAGGTTTATTTAAATGTCCACCTTAATGCTTTCTGAAGTTTATGCACTTTCAAGGACACATCCTATTGAAAATGTATTTAAGATAAAGCACTTTAGGTCTAGGACCATAAAAAACTTCACAGCTCGTGCTTAAACAGTCCATTTTCTGGACTTTTTTCCCGTTGAAGCTCTCGGTTCACTGCAATGATTTTGTTTTCTAGCTTGTGAAGAATTTTTTCAATACACATAGAAGATAAGAGTGCAACAAGAAAAGATGCTATATATACAGGACATTTTCTCTCTTTATTGTAGACATTAAAATGCAGGCTACTATCAGCTATTTTTTAAATTGATACTGTAACCCTCTTGATGAATATGAGAAAATTCCTAGAAATTATTAGATAATGCTCAGCTTATTCATCTCTTTCTCTGAAAAAGGTTGTTTTGAGGTTTTAATTTCCTTGTGATACAGCTGGCATTACTTGATTAGTAAGTGATTGTTATTCTTCTGATATAACATTTGGGGATAATACAACTCTTTGGACCTTCAAGAAATACACATCTCAGTTTGGACTGCCCTTTTGTTCATCCTGGAAACAGAAGAAGAACCTTCTCATTGCTAGGACATGAAATACATGTTCTTGTTGTTACTTAAGAAATGATGATGGAATATGCTCCTGGATGGTATTTCTTATTCTACTGTCGTGTTATATTTTGCAAGTTCATAGCTCTTTGGTTGTTTTTGTCACACAGATTAAAATTATTTATTACAATGCTATTCATAACTATATTTTTAAATAAAAAATGTTTTGGTTTTTTTGGTTTTTGTTTTTTATTATCATTATTTTTCCCTGCCATCTTTGCTGTGTCAGTGTCTGGTGTGAGGACTGCTCATGCTGTTTCTGGAAAACTCACATATTCAAATAGCCTCCAGTGTCTCCCACAGAGATAAACAGAGATAAACTGTAAAAATATGGAATCTCACTGGGCTCCTGTTTTATTTTTTCTGTTTAACTTAAATGAGTTTGCTCTGCAGTCCCAGAGGTGGGAATGCAGGTTCTGGCCCAGGTCTTCACTGCTAGCAGAATTCAATCTAGCTAATACAAAGAGGTATTTAGTATGTCTCAGCAAGCTGCTTTAGTAGTAGGACAGAATGTTGGTACACCTAAGCTAAAGTGTAAGTGAAGTTAAGTCTAAAATCATTTATTCATTGGAAGAATGCTATATGAACTTGGACACTCTCTCCTGTTTCTCAACACATTTTTTGAAGCCTGTATCATGTTATCACTGAAGGCAATTCTTAGTTTCTCCTGAAGTGCAAGAATGGCTTTAGAAGTATGAGGACCATATGTAGAAAAATCACTGCCTCCCTACACATGCTTGTGGTTTCATATTACCACATAAATAATGTCCTTTGCAGACTACCTCCTTATTTTCAAATTTCTCTCTGAAACTGCAGCAGCTGTCTGCCACATAGTGTAGTCAGGATGAAAAGGCAATTCTTTTAAATTACTATCACACTTCACAAGGCAGTACTGTTAGTGTGTGCTCAGTATCACGAAACACATGATATCTTTATCAAACTCCACCAATCGACAGGAACTGCTTGTTATTGTTGCCAGTGCTAGATGAGTAAGACAAGAAAATAAGGGGAATATAGGCATGTTTTTAATTTTTTTAGCTGAACCCTATTATACAAAATGACAAGTGCTTGAACTCCTTAGTGGCTGATGGGAGGCCTGAGATTTTACTCTTTCACTAGAAAAGTGCTGTGTCTAGCAGATGAGAAAAGGCCTGTTGTCTCCATGCAAGTTCTTTGAATTTCTCTGCAGAAATAGGACAAACTTTTAACATGGTCAAATAGTGATAGTACAAGAACAAGTGGTTTTAAACTAAAAGACAGGAAATTTAGGTTAAGAGGATATTTTTTATTTGGTGGGTGGTGAGGCCCTGGCACAGGCTGCCCAGAGAAGCTGAGGATGCCCCATCCCTGGAGGTGTTCAAGACCAGACTGAATAGGGCCCTGGGCAGTCTGAGCTTGTGGGTGGGATTGGAACTGGATGGGCTGTAAGATCCCTTCCAAAGTAAGCCAGTCTGTAATTCTATGATTATGTGATTCTGAATCTATGATTCTATAACATTCTATTCTTTAACATCCAAACTGTAAGTTGTCTAATATAAATTAGTATAAACTTTTAGTATAAACTAATTCTCTTGGTTTCATTTTATGAGTACAGGGAAAAAGGCCTCCATGTTGGTCCCTCAATGCCATGAGTTATTTTGGCATAAATAGTGCCTGCTCGTGATGGCAGAATACCTAAACAAAAGTAAGACACATTTGGATTGTGAGAACTAGGTGAGAGGAAATTCTTCCTGACATAACATAAAAACATAGCTAAACACCATACTTTTTTTCCTTGGTTAACAATTCTTCAGTGTTACGTGATTTTTTTGAGAGCAGACTTGGTTTCAGCAATCTGCATTTTGCTTTTTAATGGATGAACAACTTTAGAGGCCCAAAATTGCTAAGAAAAGCCTGCTTCATGTGCACAGTCAAATTGACTTACTGGTATTTAATTTCAGAAACCGTTCATTTAAAAAAATGTAATTATGAACCAGCTTGGACAAATTTTTCAATGAAGCATTTCATTTTGAAGAATATGATTATTTCTACTGCTACTGACAATTGTATTAAATATAACTAATGATAAGAAAAAATAGAATAATTACTATTGGACCTGCAGAGCTTTTAATGTCTCTCCCTTTTCCCCTCTGGCTGGAAATATCCTTGACAGACAAGTACCAGTGGTGTACCATCTAAACATGTGAAAACCGGGAAAATAGCATAGAAGTTAACAGCGGGGCTCTGCTTGTGTAGCAACTCCTCTCTAATTCCCTCTCTCCCATCCCATATTTCCCTGGTCTGGCACTCTACATGGTTGCTCCTGTTAAGATCCTGCCAGGTGTCTCTGGATCCAGAAGATGCCCCCCCCCAAAAAAAATCAGTTAACTGATTTCCCGTCCCAGAAAAGGAACACAAAAAGGAACACTATTGTAGCCAGAGCTGGTGCAAAACAACTAAGAGATGCTGACAGTGGCAATGATATGTGGGATACCTTTTCTGCCAGGTGGGAAGAGAAGAGGAAACATTTTGGGTTTTTTTTTGCAGAAGAGGTCTCAAGAGCCCTGGGGAAATTTAGATACCTAGATGCAGCAGAGGGAGATATTTTTCATCAAATGAGTAAGGAATCTGTGGTCAGAGCAGGCAAGAAAAGAGACAAGAGTGATCAGAACAGAAGGAACATAGCAAGCATAGGCATGTAAAGAAGGAAGTGACATCACTCATGCTCTATCTGTGGAATGAGATATTTGGATGCCTCCCTGAAATGCCTGTACACAGTGCATGCAGCTGTGAACAGGCAGGAGGAATTACAGAAGTGTGCAGACTTCAGACTTCTACTAGGCTATCACCTGATTGGGATCACAGAGACATGGTGGGATAGGTCACACCACTGGAGAGCTGTGATGTATTCTTTAGGAAGGACAGGCTGTGAAGGTAAAGAGGGTGAGTTGCCCTTTGAGTGAGTGGGGATGTATGGAGCTCTGCCATCAGATGGGTCACAAAACTGTTGTGGTTGGAAGGGATTTCTGAAGATCATCTAGGTCAGTTATCTAAACTTTGGATTTCTGACAGATGGCAAGTAGGTCATTGGAGTTTTTCTAGAAAAAGTTCAGGCAGTCCCAGAATAGCTTTGTGTGATATGGCTACAAATAAATGTTAACTGAGAAGAGATTAACTGTAGCATGGATGTAAATAACACAGTGTAACAGTAAAATGCATATTCAGTGAGTTTGATAAAGTTTAACAGAGTCATAGAATAATCTATGTTGGAAAAGATGTCTTCTCCCACTCAATGCAATGCCAACTTAAATTCATGTAATCAGGCTTTATCCTGTCAAGTTTTTTGCAAGGATGGAAATTCCTCAAGGCACCTGTCTTCGACTACCTGCACTGTGAACAGATGCTTTTTTAAAAACAGATGAACATAGATGTAAATGGAATAAAGTGAAGAAGAAATGGTTATCCCTAGAGAAAGTCTTTTCAAATGAATCTGGTGAAAATTAAGAAAATGGTGAAATTAAGAAAATGCACCTTGGCAGTTTCATGAATGTGGAATAGTTAAAATAGATGAAAGTTTAGAATCCAAGGCTGAATAATGCCCTAAGTAGACATAAAGCCAAAATTTGTGCACAGTTAAAAGAACAATTCTTTATAATGCTTTGAATAAATCTGTTTGGATGCTTGTTGTCAGAACTGAATACAAGGTGCTTTCAATATGAAACAATTCTGAATTCAAAACGAAACTGGAACTGCTCATAAATTCCTAAGAAACTTGGTGGTTTCCCTTTAGCACGGTCACTTCTTTTCTGACATAGCTTGAATAGGAACATGAGCTGCTTTGTTCAACAACAATTTTAAACTGGTTATGAGAACCAGATGGATAGCTGCTGCTATGCAAACAGGATACAGCTTTTCTACATTCCGAAAATCTTAACCGTTATTTGAACCTTATTCTCCCATTGGTTGCATAAAGATCCTATGTGAGTATAATGTTGCTAAAATACCAATCTAAATTTACTCTATTTCTAGCTGATGGACTGCAGATTTTGCTTAATGTTATCAATATTAACTTAAATTGATTTTATTTTCAAATGATTTGCAGAGAGTGAATTCTGAACCAGAAACTGAGTCTCATATCCTAAAACAGATCCATGTAACTTCAGACTCTGGGGAAGGAAAATTTCAGGAACTGGGCCTGAGTCTCTAACTCAATCTTCTGACATAGGTGAAGGCAGAATAGGAGTGCTAGCAATCCTCTACAGCTTGCTGACTGGAACATTGCTGTTTATAAATCTTTCTTTCTGAAATTCAGGGAAAAGCTGTAAAGAGAAAACCTAACTCTGCATGTATTTCTGTCCGCATATTTCTGGATACTTTCTTTTTACTGGTATTAAGCTATTAAATGCATGACTGCTTTGATTATATAGCAAGCACAGAATTCCACCTTGTGCATTTCCAGGAAAAGTATCTAGAAGCTAGAGATCACACTGAACTGTTAGCCTGTACTGTTCAGCACTGTTGCTAATAACTGAGAGATACAAAATAAACAGCAGCATTAGTTTAAATGTTGTTAATGACATTCTCTATAACAAAGATTTCAACCCAATCTTTTTCTAGAATGTATGGGGGAAAAAAAATGAGGTTTTATTACTATATAATCATATTTGATATTGACAGATACAACAAGTAATGGTTATTACTTGTATTGCAATTGTTGTAATTGTAGTTGGTTGTAAGTGCATTTTAAACAATGCAGGGGGAGTGAAAATTAAAAGTGAGGAAGAGATAAAAAGGAATGAGAAATATTATCATTTCACCTGGAAGCTGAAGTGAGATGGAGAGCAGGTTGAAATGACAGAAATAGGCTGCCATAGGTGATGTGAACATCAGAGGTGAAGCAATGGGCTCAGCAGTAGCACAGTGAGGTGGACAAGGTGGACAGTGAGTGCAGCAGCAGAGAACAGACAACAGGAGAGTGTGTGTGGGCGCTGCTACAGACAAGGAGAGCAGAAGTCTGTGTCCTCAGGACCTACTGAGATAGTACTGAGAAAATGACTTTGAGCAAATATTAGCTTTTATTAAATTAAGATCTAATTTTCTTTTTTTAAATGAAATCCCTGAAATGAAAATGAAGTACATTCTTTCTGCTTAAAAGATGTAGATGCAGTTTATATGAGGTTGTTTTTTAGCTTATTTTTTCACATGGATTTTTAGATCTTTTGAAAAAACAAATGAACTAAGTAACAAAAAGCACCCACAAAAACTGGATTCTTCACTGAATGGGGAAAAAAGTGCAGCCATTTCATGACTAGGTTGAAAAAGTGGTGCCTTCTTTTC